TACTACAATGTCATCATACCACAGCTGACTCTGGGCAACTGGTCACCAGAGTTGAGGAGTTGGACGTCTTGACTATTGATGTCTCCAACATGGAGAGATGAACATGGACTACAATGTTACTGTACGAGCTTTTGAGTATGGTTTGGGACCACTGCATGAAAAGTTTTTCTCCACGGTATATACACACTCAGACCCTCAATGTATAAGGCTTGTGGGCATAATAATTGTGCTTTTCCGAGTCTACTCACAGTCCTTTAATGGCTCATCACCTTTTGACTGCATAGTAGTTATACGCATAGCGTACCTTGTAAAACATGTATAGCACTAGTGTAGTTCGATGTAACTCTGTTGGTCTCGCTCTTTTGTATGTCGCGTTGCGCGCTAGTTCGCAGCGACAGTGTAACAGAACTACAGACGCTACTTACGAACCAGTACTTAACGATGTGGTTCCTGAAGTTGTTCCCATGTTTACCTTGCTTTCTGGCAATCCCAAGCTATTTATTAAATTGGATTAAACTTCTGTTGCTTTTCACAGCTATAGTTAGTCATTTATAAAATACACATCTCACTCTATAACGATTTCGTTTTATAGATATGAAACAGCCCACCTTAAGTTCACATCTGTGCCACAATCAGTCCAATACGCTGTCCACGTGCACATTGGTTACTCACCTATTTGTATACTATACTAGGTGCAGGCAGTGACAGCTGTTGGAGGTGGAAATTTCTCATCTCCAGTGACAGTGTATCTGGAGGAGCCATCGGAAGACTCTGGTCCAGTAGTAGTGATTGCAACCGTGACTGTCAATTTAGTCGTTCTTACTGCCACTTTCTCTTTGCTTGTGGCGAGTGTCTTGGGCTACAAGTATTGGTTAGTATTTGGCAAGTTCTGTTATGTAGCGAAACACACATTGTCAATGTACGCATCCTGCTATTATATAGCTATCCAGGACTCTATAATGCATAACTCCATGCAAGAGGTTGTGGGTTCAAATCTCACTGGTATATAGAGCCTATTTTTTCATTCTACCTTTCTTCCTCTCCTTCTGACTATGCACTCTTCACCATTCTCTCAGTCAACCTGGCGTGAGATCGGGAGCGAGATGCGCGAAATTATTAATCTGAGGTAACCCGGTGAAGAAAGCTGTCCGTGCCAGCGCATATGTACTTACATTATCCATGCCTGATTGTGGGAGATGCAGATATGTACAGCCATTTAGCTACCTCCTTGTGCCCTTAGTTAGAGGTTTACACAACTGCCTCTTTCAGGGCTTTTATACTGGACATATACGTTTCTGCAGGTGGAAGAGAAAACCTTCTCTGAGGATTGAGCATTGCACAACTACAGTTAGGCCTTTGTGTGACTAGTAGAAGGGACCAGAATCTGCCCAGTGCCCTGCTTGATTTAATCAAAGAAATGTCCGATGATGGACTCTATATTCCTGAGAGCAGTATCACCCTCCGCAGCATTGTTGGTAAAGGTGAGGTGGACCCTTTCATTTTTAGTGCAATGAAGCTACTGAGCTTGTAAAAATAGGAGAGTTTGGAATTGTCTACAAAGCCGTATTACATGATGAGAAAGGGTCTGTGGAGGATTTTGTTGCAGTGAAGACGTTGAAAGGTGAAAGAGATTGTATTACATTTGTACACTTGTACTCATAACAATATTATCGACTTGCAGGGATCTTCAGTTTTAATGATGTTAGAAGTTTAGCAGAGGAGAGTCAGATGATGGCTAAATTTGATCATCCAAATGTCATGAAGTTGCTGGGTGTTTCAATCAGTGAGAGTAGGACCCTCCTCATTATCATGCCATTCATGCACAATGGAAATCTACTCTCATACTTGCGAAACAATAGAGCAGATTTGACAGTGGAAAACGAGAACATGACTGAAACGGTATAACATAGTAATCGAGTTGTTGTCGTACTTTTGTGTTGAATGCTCTTTTACTTCAAAGTGCGTCTGTTAAGGCAGGAATTAACCTGATTCTTTCACTGGTAGATTGAAGAGATGGCTGCGTATCTACTCTCAATCTGCCTTCAAATTGCTAGGGGCATGGAGTACTTGGCTTCTAACCAGTTTGTTCACCGCGACCTTGCTGCAAGGAACTGCATGTACAGGGATAAGATGTTTACTACAGAACTTAACAATTCCTTCCCATTAGGATTGATTTGAACCACGTCATAAAAGTTGCAGACTTTGGTCTGTCGGAGGAGATCTATGCCAGAAACTATTTCAGACAAGCAGATATGCAGGAGAGTGGGGAAGGCCCTGTGAAATTACCAGTCAAGTGGATGGCTCTTGAGAGCTTGAACGATGGAGTCTTCTCAGAGAAATCTGATGTGGCAAGTACAATAGGCAATGACGATTCACACACTGATTGTTTCAAATGTGCAGTGGTCGTTTGGAGTGACATGTTGGGAGGTGTTCTCATTGGGAAGGAATCCCTACCCTGGAGTGGACCCCTTCTCTCTCATGAGATACTTGGATGGAGGAGAGAGACTTGACAAACCACAAAATACAGCTTGCTCCCAGGAAATGTATACACACCTATATAATTATACATACTTGCTAGTATCGTAGACATTTGAAAAACTATACTGGTGAAAGAAACAGGCTAAATTATTGTCCATGGTACACAGTATCAGTTTTTTACTCTTTACTTCCTCTTTAGCTTTTATAGTATTTCTTCTGTAATTTTTTCTAACAGATATTGTATAATGAGTGAGTGTTGGGATTCAGAACCTTGGAAGAGGCCCACCTTCTCAGAGCTGGTGACAGTCATCTCTGCCAGTCTCCAGGACATGGCCGGATACCTGGACCTTACCTGTCCCTCAGTCCGAGCAGATCTGTAGATTCCTAGAGACAACAATTTCAAGTTCAAGTATACAGCTAGCTATACACTATATATAAACTCTTGCAAACTATATTTAATGTGCAGTGAGGTGGCTATACAATTATACTTCTTGGAGTGTTTTTCTGCATTCATTTTTCTTTATCCAGCATAACGAATCACAGTTTAATATCTTGGATGTGTCATTGCATTTCTTGACATCCATGGTGTGCTTTGCAAAATGCCAGGTATGCTTAGAATTGTAGCAGTTTTAGTCCTGCGTGATTGTGGGAAGCTAAATCTGCTTGCACAGTGCCAGTATAATAGAGTCCAATAAAGATTTGGGCTCAATGAAATAAGTACGAAGGCATGATATTCAACAGCACTAGAAAAAAGAGACGTTGACCATTACATGACAACAAATTCAAGGTGATAGTTTTAAAGACCTTGACAAAGTGCTGTGCTTACTAAACAGGAGGTTACCACGGCGACCAGTGCTCATTCACTTAATAATTCCGTGTAAAATATTGGGTAATATTGTTGCGTATTAGTGATGGACACATAATTGTGCACTAAAGAGTAAATAAATTAGTTACAACACTAATGCATACATAAGTAGTAAAACAACAAGCTAAATGCTATCAGTAAAAGTGTTCATCCAAGGTTTGGCTACCAAAATGTCACAGTCATGCTATAGTTGTGCTGGTTGCAGACGAAACAGCATATAATTTTGATGCTTAACAGTGCGAGCATAGCTTATTCCTTTTACGCACACTTTGAATTGCTCTTCTATTTTACATTCCTTTTCTTCGGCATTAACTCTCTCTCCCTGTCGATCGTGACGACCCGTACTTCTTGTGCTCTGGTGGTCTTGTCTCCCCGTCCTCCTTGTATCTCGTCCTCCTGCACCTCTCCTGGCTTGAGCTGCTCCTACTCCTGTCCCTCTTGCATCTTCTCCATCTTGCCTCCTAGTCCCTATTTGCTCTTCTCCTTCTTCCCCCTCTCTTCCCCTACCATCTTGCCTTCCTCCCCCCTCTCTCTCCCTTTCCTCCTGGCCCCCTTGCCCCCCGGTTTGTCCCTCATACACCTCTAATCCCCTTGCTTCTCCTTGCCCCTCTGCCCCCCTTCTCTCGGGTTCTTCTCGCCGGTCTGCTCCTCTTGTTTCTTCTCCTCCGTCTTGCTGCCTTGCCCCACTTGTGGCATGTCCCTCTGTGTCTTGCTCCCCTGGTCTCCTTGTGTCTCCAACCTCCTCCCTCCCTGTCCCTCGTGTATCCTCTTCATGTTGGTCCCCCCCGTGTCCTTGTTGGTTCTCGGGCCTCTTGTCTCTCTGTTTCTCTTGCCTCTCTTTGTCTTGATTTTTGTTGTTCTTGCTGCTGCTTCCGGAACACCTTTCTCTCTTTGACGCACAGAAACCCCTTTCCCAGCGGGTGGATGCACTGGATGTAGTAGGCTTCGGTTCCCTTGATCCAGTCCTTGGTGTCACACGAGATTTTGTGGTTACTTCTTTTCTTCAGCAGAAGCCTCGTTCGTTGGTAGTCGGAGGTGAGTCGCATTCTCGGAGATTTTCCTCCTTTGCCAGTAACTGGGTTGGTTACAACTTCAAGCATGTATTCGAGTGGAAGTACATCCTCGTGGGTGGACACAAGCTTTGTTAAAGGGCGCGAGTCTGGTCTTCTTTTAACTGCTGGCTTGATCTTCGCAAGGGAACTGGTGAGAGAGAATTCGAGCTCATGACGATGTAGCGTTTCGTTCACCATCTTCACTGAAAAGGGCCTGGCGTCCTTCTTGTCGAAGGTAACAGTGATGTTTATCACGTTATTCTTGTCCGGAATTACTGTTAGGTAGGTACATCACTTTACTGGGACCACCTCCACATGATATTATGTATGGCCCACCAACTAAAGGAAAAGAGGGAAATCCTAAATCCTCTTGGGATAGCTATAAGTGTTGTATGCACACATGCGCAGATGTATACTGTTAAAGATGAAGAAGAAGATGAAGAATATCGAAAATCTGAAATCGCGTATGAGCGGATTTTCGTGTCAGGGACGTATGAAACTTTTGGGCGTAGCTATGTATAGGTAGATATGGACCCGTGAGTGATTTTTGGTGTGTTTGGTGTGAAGGCATAGCTAGCCATTCTCGCCGAGTTTCGAGGCGTTTTGTAGCGTAGGAAGCCAATTATCGACCAGATTTTGTCCCTGGAGCGCCGCTCACACGAGGAACAGCCGACCAGAGCCGTTCTTTTGCGAATTTCTTGGCTTATTATCCATAGACGCGTTTCTTGCGTCGCATTCCTATTCTCAGAGTCCTATACTAAGCCAAGTCGCACGCCAATTATCGTCTGGTTATCGTCCGCGCATACAAAATACGCAGTACAATTATCGGCCGCCTGCAGCTTAGGACTATGCGCTACTACTAGGGGTACTCTGCCCACCTGTTGTTTACATACAGAAGACAATGAGCTGTGCTTGGTTGAGACAATGTACCACTTCTCAATAATGTTTTGAAACATAATAGCTATGTACAGAACATGCCACACAAGTCTTAGCTTGTCATGAGTAAAGTGCATACAGCGAAATTAAGTGGACAAAATAAATGAAATGAAGTGTACAAAATGAAACTTAGCAATATTACACGATACAAATGGGGCAAAATCGCTCACAGCCATTCACATCCACAACCCTGGTTTCTGCGCAGTAAACATGTAGCCACCGACCACACGCACAAGAGATCCACTCAGTTCCCCGTCCTTCAGCAACATCTTGTTGGTAATTGCCAAAGCACATGCAGCATTCATCAGTGTCAATGTCCTCACTCTCTTGAAGACACCTCCTCTTTGGCAGAGGTTGCACTGCAATACCAGAAGAACTTGCACCGTCTAGACTTGATGGCAGTATGTTCGCAGCTCTTCGAGATGGCTGTTTCCCTTTTCTTGTTGCTGTTTTCTTCGCCTTTTCCTCTGCCTTTCTGGCTCGCTCTACTGCTTTCTTTCTCATTTCTTCCTCCTTACTTTTCCTCTTATCTTCACGTTCCCTTTTCTTTCTTTCTTTCTCCTCTGCCTCTCTTTGCTTCTTTCTCTCTTTCTCTTCCATCGCAGCAAGAGATTCCGCACTTGTTAGAAGGCGTGCACGAGGAAAAGATCTCTTTCGGCCACTAGATTCACCGTCAGGAGATATAAGGTGAGGACTAGAGAGGAATTTTGAGAGTGAGCTATCAGAGTGAGGAGTTGAAGCAGATGAGAGTGGTGAAGTCTCACATGGCAGAGTTGATTTCGAAGACGAAGGTGTTGCTTGTTGCAAAATGTGCAACTCACTTTGAGGTGAAACTTGGGGGAAATGTTCAGAAAGAGAGTGTCCAGGTTCTTGTGTTGCACTGGGATGATGAAGCTCCAACCAACGACTATAATCTGCATCTTCGAGGTCGTATCCCTCTTCAAACCGTCGTCTGAAGCACTCGACCTGATCATCGGTGAAGGACACTGAGGGATCGTTAGAGATTGAGGTCTCCGGTTGAGCCTCAACTGCAGATGAACATTCCTCCTGCACCTCAGTTTCCTGGCCACTAACAACTGGGTCAATGGCATTGGGGTTGAATGGATAGACACCACAGATCTTAAATGCGGAAATCATATTTGACGGAGTTACTGCAAGAAGCCAGGCTTTAGAGAAAAACGAATTGAAGTCAAACTTTGTGATGACCTTGCTAGGATTTTTCTGGATGAAATCATGACACACTGATGTCCAGTGTGACTTGAGAGGTGCGAACACACCACAATCAAGAGGTTGTGTTTCATGCGTAGTGTGTGGAGGAAGACATAACATAATTATCTGATTCTCTTTTGCATAGCGAACAACACAAGGCTGATAATGCGTGCTGTGCCCATCAAGTAAAAGTAGAAGAGGACGCATGGACACAGCATACTGAAGAAAATGCTCCACTAGCCAACCCTCAAAAAGCTCTGTTGTTATCCAACCTTTATCACTTAGCCCATACTTTGTACCTGGTATTTCGTTTTCGGTCCAGGCGTGGTTGAGATTTTTAGCATCAAAAATTACCATTGGAGGAACAACTTGACCTGCAGCATTCCCGCAAGCCACGATTGTAACTTGGCCCTTCCTTCCAGACGATCTATAGCGGACCTTTTTACTCCCTTTCACAGCAACAACGTTGGGTGCCTTGGGATCGAGAGGAAGGCCGCTCTCATCCATGTTATAAATTTGAGACGGGCTATGGAGCAAGTTGTGTTCAACTAAAGTGTCATGCAACAATTCAAAATACTGTACCAATGTTGCCTGATTCACTGCTGCCATTCGGACATGGGCAGTATTGTCGCCACGCCTCAGGGTTAAATCACTCTGGCGCTCCAGAAAACGACGCCACCACCCTTGACTAACCCTTGCACCACGCAAAACACCTTTTTCTTCCGCTACACTCTGTGCAATATTCATGACATCCCTCCGAGTTTTCCCATACCCAACGGCAGCACAATCCTTAAAAAATACAGCCAAATCCTTTTCTTCCTTAGCGTTGGACCTGGCTTCGTTCCATGAATAACACGCCCGCTTATCCTGTCCATCCCAAGTAGTCCTGCGTCGATTATTCCAGAATAATTTCAGGAATAATAGGTCCCTCTGGGAATAAGAATAATTCCAAGAATAATAGGTTGAAAGTTTCCAAGCGAGCGACGAGCCGGCAACTCGCGGAAGGGCGAAGTGCGAGTGGACACGCGTCACGCGCACGAGTGGGTCAAAACGGAACGGACTCCGACTCGGACAGGGAATCAGGGATAAAAACCACGTGTAGCGTGCCAGAATGGCCAAGAGGGGCGCGCCGCCGTGGTCACGTCATGCATCATCGATATCTGGATGGCGCGCGGCGTTGGGGGACGTGCCGACTTTTCCGAGCTCAGCCTAAGAGCATACCTACCAACCTGCAGATAAAGCTTTGCTTGAGAGATTTGGATGTTGTGGATCTAATCAAAATGTATGGGCATGATCCATCACAGGATAGCACTGGATGGTTGGTATGTAAGAGCATGGCGAATGAAGGGCATTTTTGGGGAGCGAGAGCACTCCACGAGCCATCCTAGCTTATTAGTAATATCTCTCCATTTAGCATCAGCAATTGCTGCTGAAATAGCACGTCCATTAAAAATCAAGCAACTCTGGCACGCAATTACTACACTAATTTGGTGCACTTAGTCTACAGAGCCATTCTGGCACGCTAATGTACTGTAATCTATGAGCCATTCTGGCACGGGAGCCATCCTGGCACGCTACAACCACGTGGATAAAATGGCGTCGACTTCCCATCGGGTGATGTTTAATGTTATATTTATGTGCCTGTTCTGTATAGTACTGTTTTTTCATTTTTCAAGCAGAATAATAGGTAAATTTCTGTGAATAATGGGTAACTTTAAAGAATAATAGGCATATGGAGTAGGAAATTCAGAATAGAATATCCGGACAAATTGTGGGAATAATAGTCTCAGGCCTAATCCCAAGTGCGCGCGCTGCCAGTCAAAATTAATGCGCTCTCCGCCGCGTTCACGTATAATAGAGCCTCGTTTCCCAAGGAGCACAGAGTGGGATATCCTCTGTGCTCCTTCTCTTCTGTGCTCATTCGGAAACGAGGCTCTACTATACGTACATGCGGTGGCGCGCGCATTTCACTGGCGGCGCGCGCTCTTGGGCAATTCTAGCAGTCACACACGCCAGCACGCTACAACAGTATCTGCTAACATGAGTCACGCTGGGATCATTGTTCTTCTGACTCTCGGCTGCTATGCTAACCATGTGAATGGACAAGGCTGGACTCAGATTCCGCGAGGTCTGGTCCAAGTATCTGGAAACCTCAACTACATCTGGGGACTAGACCAGGAAATGAAAATTTACCAGTGCCAACGTCCGTGTACAGGTGCATATGGAACGTCAAAATAGTTGAAAACGCGTATATAGATTGTAAACGCTATCGATCGCCGTTGTGTAGAATCGTTGTAGTCGTTTTTCAACTGTCGTTTTTCAACTGTCGTTCGTCGTTCGTATACGCTTTCCTACGTCGTTGTCAAAAAGTGATCGGTGGTCTACCTCTACCGACCGTGTCGATCGTCTCGCACAAATCTTAGCGCAGCAAAGACGCATGTGTAAGATTTTAGGACATGAGCCAACGCGCGTGCGCTGGATCAGGACAAAGTGTGGTTTTACCCGGAGTCGCCGTTATCATGTAGGCAGTCACTCTCTGGAAGATGCGTACTATATTCGTCGGCAACGATAAGTAGGCGCCCGAGGCCCGTTTATAAAACCTGTTTTACAGTTTGTGTGTACTGTGTAATAGCTATGTACATTTGCCAGGTCATGGTTGTGTGTGTGTTAGGTATTGGGGGAAAAAGAAGATGGTCTTAGAGTGTGGGGGGCGTGTGCCACCTCACCGCGTGTGGCTGCTTAGTTGTCCAAATTGTATATATTATTGGGCAATATTGAGCTATTTATTACTCTACTCTATGGGTGATATTATTATATTTGATAAGGGCACCTAAGTTATGGGAAGTAATGGGGAACATGGAAAGCAAGGTGCTAATTTAGGGTAGTTGTGATGTCATAGGTATTTAATTTCCTAAGGGGGAAGTGGGTTTGTTACTCTAGGGTCCTGGAGGATGTATAATATTTACTCTAGCGAGTGGTGTGTGTGTCGCTTGCAGGGAGCAAACGAATCTCCATGAGATTGGGAGAGCCAATGCTACAAGTGTTCTCCGTGGTACACACTTTGTGACATAATTATAAACAATCGCCCGCCTAAAAAAACAGTCAGAGCAACTTCCTTTCGTAGCTACGATACTTAGGAATGTTGATTGTGCACAACGTCTATAATTCAACGCATGCGCTTAGCATTATACTTAGTGCGCGTCCGCAATCGAACGGCGTCGACACACACAGACAGACAAACCCGAGTACAAAGTAACCCCCGCTGCGCCTGCGCGCCGAGGGTTAATAAACAACACAGCTACGCTGGTGAACGGCCGACCTACAATTATATAGTACACAACGACGATCGATAGCGTTATACACTATGTTTATATACTATTTTTGTCGCATTTTGCGTTCCATAGGTGCATGGAGACTAATCGAAGGATTACTGGTCCAGCTCGACGTGGACGATGAATTTGTTTGGGGCGTCAATAGCAATGATAACATATATGTCCGCCCTGTTGACGGCAGTGGAAGCTGGAGCCAAATTACTGGGAGGTTGATTCACGTCTCGGCCTCGGGCAACGGCTATGTTTGGGGGACAAACCGTGCCAACAACATCTATAAGTGCAAGAAACCATGCAAAGGAAGCTGGCAGGTGGTGGCTGGAGGTCTCAAGATGATTGATGGCGGGGAACGAGAGGTGTGTGGGGTTAATGGAGGAAACCAGCTGTACTGCCGACCTGTCGATGGGAGTGGAGCATGGCGATTCATCTCCAACGGTTTCCAACATGTTACCACATCTGGCCCATATGATATCTTTGGCATCAACACCAGAAACGAGACTTTCCGTTGTCGCAAGCCGTGCATCGGGCAGTGGATTATGGTTGGCCACGATGACGCCAATGGCCTCACCGAGTGTGACGCCACTGCCAATGCCCTCTTTGGAATTGATACCTGGGGATTGATATGGAGGAAAGATTTCCCACTGTGATCGAGAATCAACTATTGAACTTACTTTATGCTTACTCTTATCTATACTGAACATTATCTGTAGCTAGAGATCAAGTTGGTTAGAAAATTTTGCATAATGAGCGATGCAGATGATTATGTTTATGTGGCCCAACCACTAGAGGCACCAAAAGTGTATAAAGTAATAGCTAGCCTTCCCAATGTTAGTTCACTAGATACACATAACAATCAGTCTGTGGTCAGCGTTCCATGCTTTGCTGAGGTAATTGTAAATTAGAGAAATATTGCGTGGGGTATGAAAGCGACACAAAGGACAACACTTTTGAGTGGGTGGACCGTTTACTGAGGACACATATATACAAGTGGAAAAATAATTTCTTCAAAATGAAGTGGGATGTAGGGATGGGGTAAATTATGAAAAAGGATACCAACAAGAAAGATGCTTCGGCTGAAAACAAAAATCATACATCCATCCCTACATCTTTCTTTCTTCAGCTCTGTCGAAGAATGTGTAGGCACTAAGTTTTGGTGTAGGGTATACTACAAATCACAGTTGAGGTTGTCCCATCCCTCTCCGCGACTTCACCTCTGAACCCTGTCTCATAGGTTAGCAGAGGGGAGGTTAAAGAAAGATGTAGGGATGGATGTATGATTTTTGTTTTCAGCCGAAGCATCTTTCTTGTTGGTATCCTTTTTCATAATTTACCCCATCCCTACATCCCCCTTCATTTTGAAGAAATGATTTTTCCACTTGTTCCACTAACTTTTTTGGCACATGCTCAGACCCACCCTTTTCGCAGTGCAGAGCGGCAAACGAGGGGCTGCACGCATTAGGGTTCACACACGCGTGGGTGGAAATTTATGCACTGCATATTTGTGACTTGAAGATTTGATCGCACACACACTCACAGTGCATTGTGGGGGAAGGGGCGATGGTCGTGACGTAGTTTGCAATTCTTGCGTGAGACACTAGCGGGCACATGCGCAAGTACAAAACTAACCCAACATTCATTATACAAATGCTTTGTTGTGAATTGTGAATGAAAGTTTTTTTCTTTAGGAGAGGTCTATTCCAGCTGAAGTGAAAGGTGGAGGCCAGGGGTATATAGCTAGTAGCGACTGGGCAGTAGAAGCCAGAAGTTTGTAGGGTTCAGGTTGTAGCTTGAGAGTGCATTTGCCCTTTGAACATATAGATAGTATGCACCATCAATACAGAGGAGTAGACAGACAATGTAAGGAGTAGGCTTACAATAGGAGTTGTTAGTGTAACAAAGGCTAGGTTGGAAGTGGGATAAGGGTGAAGGAATGTACAAGTCAGCAGTGGTGATAAGGGTAAACATTTCAGAGCCCCACCTGCCAAGCAACTCCCAGATAATCTTATAATGGCTGGGTATCCTTCCCACTGTCTGTGTTACATCTATAGTGCAGCCATATCAGCAATATTTCCCTTCAACTGGGCAACAGCTGCCTTTTTCTTACCAGGGTCAGCATGATAGGAGGCCCTAGCCGGCTTACCAGGGTCTGACTGACAAAGGGATCTACCTCTAGCCTTTATATTCTCGGAATTCTGCACATAATATCTACTGCCCTCCTTTTCAAGCGATAAGGCAAAAACTTGAACTTATCTCAAAGGATGGAGAAGCCCGGGTGGCAGTGACGACAGCAGAGCAGTGGTATAGCACAGTGGAGGGCCTTGCGATTGAAGGAACAGGGTGAGGTTCTTGTTACAAGCCACGACTGTTAGCAGAGAAGTGCTGGCTAGAGGATGCAGGTGGAACTGGAAGGAGAGTTGTCAGGCACCCCTATTAAAATAGGCAATGAGGGTAATGCAGACAACTTGCCTTGAATCATAATTAACTGTGGCCCCAACTCCAGAAACCCAGACCTTGGAGTAAATTATACGTGATTTATGTTCGTAATCGCAATAGGAAGACTTACTTTTGACCGTGGCGACTCCAGCACAATAGTAGCAGCAGTGCGGACAAGACAGACACGGAGTGTCACGTGGAGGTTGTCTCGTGAAGTCGTGGAAAATATTCGTCGCGTGGAACCTCGAAAGAAAATTCACAATGAACTGGATTGCAGCTAGCTAAAGTACACACAATAGTAACTCCTTACCACAAGACGGATAGCTAGGCCCAAATTCGGGAGCAAACTCAGGCGAGCGAAAAACAAGCCGCCAAACGGAGCACACGGCTAGCAGCACCACGCGGTCCGCTCTCCCCTGCCTGGCGCATGCGCACGGCTCACTGATACTGAGTTAGCAGCAAATGGCGTTGTTCAGTGTCGACCATGGAAGAGCTCCATGATCTGCAGTAGTGACTTGCGGCAAGAAAGAAACGATCGCTTGATGTCCGTGCACACCTCGGACGAAATTGGAGACGTTCAGTGAAAAAATCAGCGCTCCAACTGGTACTGGTAAGGAGATAGCGGGTTTAAAGTGTCCTCGCGCATGAGAACGTGCGCATACGTATAATGTTGAGGACCAATTTAAAACCCGAAGCCACCCAACATAATAGCATCTAGGTATCCGCGAACGTGAAGTATGACTCCTGTGGTACTTGCGTTGTTTCTCGCAATAGCGACCTTTGTCCATGGCCAAGCTCCAGGCGACGGCAGCGACCTGTGTACGGAGGACAGCATTCAGGGGTTCCCTAACCCGTTCTTTGAAATCCGCCCGGTGTACTCAGCTAGTGAGCGGCCTCTCATGGACTCCAGAGACTACCTTCGCCTGCTTCAGGAAAGTGGCGACGCGTATGTACCGTGGCAAAGCCTGGATAGGGACAATAACAATACAAACATGGTTGTAACTGAGGTAAGGACAATAGCTATACTAAACATAACTTATTAAGTTGTTCTCCAGTGGACTCAAACTGGGACTGCCACATGCCAGGGGACAGTGACAGCATGTGGATTCAGTGTTGGAGCTCAAGAGAACTGGCTCATCACACAGCACATCAACACAGTGCTACCAGGAGGAGGAGGAGAGAGACTGAGGAAAGTGACTGTTCAGTTTGAGGGAACTCTCAATGGATGTGATATCAGTAGACAGTGCAGACAGAGTTTTGAACTATACAAGTGGGAGACTTCAGCCATCGACAGAAATGGAGCAACTAACACCAACAATTATGTCAGAGTTGGTCGAGTCTCTCCCTCTGTTACTAGTGGAGTCACGTCCTTTGTTGATTCTCATAGTATTGAATTGGGTACCACAGGTGGATTTTACTTGGGAGTTGTTGACTTGAGCACTTGTGTTACTCTCACAAGAATTCTAGTTCTCTACTATGTGTGTCCACAGGAGACATCAGAACTCATCTCCAGAACTGAGGCAATTGAATCCCAATCTCTGGAAGGCTCGCCTTCAGTGGAGGGAGAGTGTGTAGAGAACAGTTCCACAGAGTCTGGGACTAATCCTATTCTCATATGTGGTGCTAGGGGACAGTGGCAGGTGATAAAACCTTGTCTCTGTAATCCTGGGTATGAGCTGGACGGCAGTCAAGACCAGTGTTCAGGTAATGTGACATTGATGTGGTGTCTTTTCATTATCTACTCTCCATGTTTCCTATAGAGTGTCCAGAAGGAACCTTCTCATCAGGACTGGGTAATGGACCATGTGAGACGTGTGCAGCTAACAGTGATGGGACTGGAACTGCTCTGAGCCTCTGTCCATGTCTCCAGGACTACTACAGAGCTCCTTATGAGGGGCCGTCCGTCCCCTGTACACGTGAGTGTCACTAGTAAAGTATTTGATATACTACAGAAAGCATAGTAAGCACATCCTTTCTGATATGACTAGCTACACTTGGACTTACTCATCCCAACATCCTCATGTAAGACTCTGTTAACATGGAGACTACTGTATATTGATGTTTTACAGAGTCTCCAGGCCCTCCATCTGATCTCAGAGTGTCAAATGTGACCAACACATCAGCCGTCCTCTCCTGGTCTCCTCCTGATAATGGTGGAGGGAGACCTCTCTATGAGATAGTCTACACCATCCACATACACGGTATGCTTAATACAGTGTTTAAACTCGCCGAGTATCATTCCACTGCCTTAGATGGTTCTTCCACTCTGAAAAAAGTGGTAAACAGTACAGAGACCATTGTGACTGGACTGACACCTGGTGTCCTCTACACATTCTCTGTATCTGCTGAGAATGATGTCTCCTCTCAGGACAACAATATCAATGCCAGAACTGTCAATATCTCTATAGCTACAGGTCAGCTATTAAAATTTGTCATGGTTGCTGATCGCCTAAGAAAAATATTTGCTGTTCAGTACCTTCTAGTGTTAGAGACATTCAAGAGCACTGTACTGTTGTGGTTTGGAAGGAACCGGCAGAAACTAATGGTCCTATTGAAAGCTACCTTTTGACATTCAGGAGGGAAGATCTGTCCACGTCAGTAGCGTCTAGTCCTACATACCACTATTACGTTATTCAACCACGTGATATCCCACCTGGAGTTGGACCAGTTACAGTGGAGGTGGGTAGGAAGAGTAGTGCTTCACTTGTTTTTAAATAACAAAGAGCAAAATGGCTGTAAACACGAGCCAACTCTCTTTCCTTCAATAGTAGCCATAAAAATAGTCAGATGAATTTTCATCCCTCTAATAAACTACAGGTGAGAGCTAGGAACGCAATAGGACTTGGTCCTTTGTCACAACCACCAGTGACCATATGTGAGTTTAGATATACTAATGAGACATATTAACTGCGTTCAGCTTGGATTTACTTATACCTTGGTGTATAGTAGCTATGTAGTATTTCTCTGTACCTACAGACTGCCTAAGTGAGAACCCATCTCCCGCTCCAATGCCGACTCCAACCACACCAGAGTGTCCGTCTTGCCCCCCACCTGTCACCTGCTCTCCTGCTGCAACCCCTCTCCCTTGCCCAACCTGTCCCTCTTGCCCTACTCCCACCTGCCCTCTAATTACGAGTAGCCCCTGTCCTAACGAGTGTTCACTGTGTCCGTCGATAGCTGAAAGTCCACCTGAGCCCTCATCTCCACTACCACTGCTGTGCCCCACACAAAGCTCCTGCCCTCCATGTGAAGAGTGTCCCATGGAAGAGTTTAATGTGCCAGGTAACCACTGTGTATAATGTGGGTACAGGCATTGGTTTAAAGGAGTTAGTCACAGCCTCTTCCTGTGCCACGTCGCGTGCATGCACATCCAAAGAGAGGACTGGGAACAACACTACCGACAGCCTAGCTTCCATTACAATAGGTTGAAAGAACAGGCTACTTGAGATCCAGGACCAGACAAGGCTGACTCTACAGTATGTAAAGTGTGGCTTTGAGTATACTCAACATGCCCAGAGTGTGTGCAGTGGCTCTTTTAATGTGTTATCTCTGTAGCTACGTAATGTGCTGGTGAGGAACATTGTCAGTGTCAGAGGAAGGAATATGACAATCAATTGGATCCCCTCCACTGGCACTGTCTCGATCAATGTAAGCCATACAGTATCGGGGAACCTCATTTGAGGGTATGGGTTAGATTTTTCGTCTATGGAATAATCCCTGAATATAGTATGAAAGGACTGTTGTTTGACCTTTTGGGTGTTTTTAAGGTAAGAGCTAAGAACGGCATTGGCTTGGCAAAGGCTTGGAGCTCCACATTCCATCTTCTTTCTATGCTGCATTCAAAATGTTAGAGTCTGAATGATAATATCCATTCTTTATGCAGAGGCTCTGTCCTGTGACAATTACTGAAGGTCTGGCAGCAAAGAGCACTCTCTAATGAACTTTATACCACGTTGGACAGCATAGTAATTGACTAGTTGTACTTTTGTGTGACTCTTTCAAAACAAGTGCCATTATGTGTCTAAAGAACTTCACAGCTCTCAGACAGGTGCTCTGTAAGAATGACCTGCTAGGGATAAGAAATACCTGCAGTACCATGTTTTTGTCGAAATGAGCATTTGGGACTGTAAGTGCAACAAATTGCTCATCATCCTGTCACAGTACCCATGGTCATGTGGCTCTGTTGACCTGATATTCCCAGATCAACTGATCTACATCACTGGGGGGGACAGATTTGTACACAACAACCACAAAATAATACAGTGACACCTCTTGGATATCAGCCAAGTAGATAGTATGTAATAAGAGTCCCTATGGGAGTTGCACAGTGTCACTGTCAGAACTGCAACAGTATCAAATACTCTAAGCAGCATTACATGTTGAGGAAAGGTGTGACATTACCCCACGGATTATAGATATGCACCACATGCTACCCTCCTCGTGTGTAACTTGGCAATGACACTGGATAGTGTCACGGGCAACGGCACACAGAGCATAAAACAAAGCAACTCTTTGGATCTCCACAGTCTATTCTAATAAATAGCTTCACAGCAAGTGTGAGTCAATAGCTAGTACTCGTCTGTGATAGTAATGATTTATATTTTCTTCCCACAGCATGGTGAGGTATAATATTATTCTTGGAATACTATTCATCTCAACATTTTCCTGTTGCTCA